CAACTGCAGTATTACTGCAGTACATCTATAATACTAGTAAATTACAACTGCAATACAAATGAAGTATTTTGAAAATACAACTGCAATCAAACTGCAGTATTACTGCAATACAGCTGAAATGGTTTTTAAATAATACTGCAATACAGCTCTGGTAGTACTGCAATACATAATACAACTAAAGTACAATTACAATGCTACTGAAGTGAAATGATAATAAAATGTTGTACAATGCCACGGGAATACAACCGGAATATTCAAACTATCAAGTTTTATTTCCACACATCTGCAATATAATAAAGGTACAAAATAACAGTGAATTTCGCAAAGTGTAATGCAACAATAAATGTGATTTTACTTTTCTTAAACTTTAAACAATAGGCTGAGAGTTAATCTAACATATTGCAAACCTACAGTTGTATTTTTACTGAAGATGTACTTTTTTTTTACTGCAGTTGTACTGTTTTTATAGTTCATTATATTACAAACCTGCAGTTGTTCTTAGTTTTACTGCAGTTTTACCTCATTGCTCTGCAGTTTTACTACAGGCATTTTTTGTAAGGGCCAATCCAGCAAGTTATGTTCAGATCAGGCAATAGTCACGTGTATACACAATCCCTGACATCCTACTTGCAGAAAGAACCAATAGACATTTTGCTGAGGTATAGTTTGTGTAGGGAAAACTGATGATCCCTGCTGAATCACATTGTCATAATGCTTGTTTTAATAACTAATGTGCTGATTTTTAATAATGCATGTTGCCAAGAGTGATCATAGTTAACGCCACTTAGTAAATATAGTGTGAAATAAGACAAATGTTCTTTTTGACAAATAATTTGCAGCTTAAAAAGAATAATTCCACTCTACGATACTCAGCTTGCAGGAAGTTCATAATATAAAAGAATGAGAATAAAAATGTGTGATGTGCTTAATGTCTTATACATCTATATACTATTTGTGCAGCTATACGCTGTAACTTGTTTTACACTTGTCCATTAGGAGTGCAGCCAAATGTAGTTTTTCACTTGCCTGTTAGGCTTAGGGCCGCAGAGTAATTACTTTTGATAATATGCCAGCTGCCATCTTAGGAAATTATAAATGTGAGTTAATGAGAGACGTCATTTTGTGAAAATATATATTTCATGTAAACATGATATCAATGGCGGACCTAAGGAACAAAGGGCTCTAGTGCAAGATTTTTTCTGAGGGCCCCACAATCCCAAACTCCCCCTTCCCCACAGAAGCCCGTTGCACCAGCTGCACCAGCAGTAAGTACATCTCTGGATCACACTGATCTCTATATACATACTGATCTCTATATACACAGTGAGAAGTATAGCACATTATGGTCTCTATATACACATCAATCTGTATATACACGGATATCTCTTTGTACACAGGAATCTCTGGGCAGTGCTGGTTCTGATTGGCTCCCTGTACAGTCCGGATTCTATACTCGGGAACTCGTTGGACCCCACCCTCTCTCAGAAGACTGTCAGACACCCCTCCCATCTTGCCCCAGGGACTGCACTGCCCCATTATCTATAAATAGGGGGTGCCAGGGACCAGATTTTACTGGGCCCCCCAGCCTCAACCCCGATGCAGCTGCCCTGGTACTGGATTACACTCTGTTCTCCTCTATGGATGAGCTGGGTTTCAGCCCGAACCTGAGCTCATTGGTACTCAGGAGTAAGCTGTGAGTGCTGGCCCAGCCAGGGAATTCCCCACCCCCCATTAAAACAAAGGGGTGGGATACTGGTGACATCATTCACCTTATAAGGACACATTAGGTCAATGTGCACTTTGCCAGGTTTGCGCCCACTTTGCACCTCCGTTGCTGTAATAGGCAGACTGAAGTGCCAATAGAATATCGGAGATTCTCTCCTAGGCTTGGCCCTGACCAATCAGAATGAACCAATACTCCGAATTCTATTGGTGCCTTTCACTGTCAGTCATCATAAAATACAAACAGGAGCGCATACACTTTACCAATGGAATGGAGGGTATGCTGTAAGAGAAAGGACTTACATGGTATTGGTGAGGACAGAGTGTCATGCAGCCTGAGCGGAGGAATGGTGTCCTATCGGTGCTGTGATGCTGTGCCTGTCTGCAACGGTTCCAGTGTCCAATCTTGTTGTAGTGGGGTCCAGGAGAGATTGTATGCTAGAGGAACTGTGTAGATCTCAGTGGCCAGGGAGAGTGGATACAGTACGGGACAGAGGAGACGGACAGGCCGCCGCTGTCAGCGTCCTTGCTGAGTCACTGAACTGCCAGTCCGTGATGGAGTTGTCAGCACTGGGTTAGGCAATAACCGGACTGTGAGGTGTCAAACTTAGCCAACTGTACATGACAGGAGTATCTTGTAGTGATCACTCGAATCGTATGGTTATGTGAGTTCTGTGGGGTAAATTGAAGCGGCTGTGTCCGCCAGAAGTGTGTGCGGGTGGTCAGCCGTGATGACTCTCAGGGTGAAGAAAGGTTGGGGAGTAATGAGCAACACGTTTCAAGGCAAACCTCTTTGTCAAGCTCAAATTTAGCAATCGGTCAGTGCCTCGTGAAGCCACGATTGGGTAAAGGAATGCACCTGACCATAGGTCAGGTGCAAAACTTTACTCAATCACAGCACAGAGAACTCTGAGAGCCATGATTGGCCAAAGTCATGATGACTTTTCCCAATCATGGCTCACACAGCTAAGTCCTGTCAGGTGCCCGGACAAATGTAAACAGTTGGGCGGAACTAGCTTAGCTAGCTTATAGTAATATTTTGCCGGCATCTGTCAGAATGCAGGTCTTGTAAAAATTATTTCTATTTATTTTTTTATTTTAATTTCATCCATGACCCTAGGATTACCTCGGTGGATCCATTTTTTTTTTGCAATTGTCAAAATCCTTTGTTGCATTTTTATTTAAATTAAAGGATTTCCCCTAAAAGTCTGGACTTATTTAGCTTTTATTTAACCCTTTAGTGCATGGGTAGGGGTACAAGTACACCTTATTCATTCACAAAGGGGGGGCGCATCTGGGTGCCCCTTTATTAAAGGAGTACCCCGATGTGCATAAGCCCCCACCCTGCCTGCACAACCAATGGGGAAGAGGCCCTTGTCCCCATCGGTCCCCTTTCCTGCCCTGCCAGGCCTGTGCTCGGATCAAGGATCTGGTTGGGAATTTTAGAGGGGGACCCCACATCTTTTTTTCCCCATTTTTGTTGGGTTTCCTCTTTCAAATTCCTACCAGACTTTAAGGGTCTGGTATGACTTTTGGGGGGAACCCCACGCTTTTTTTTTTAAATGGGGTCCCTCCTAACATTCCTACCAGACCTAAAGGGTCTGGTATTGTTTGGGAGGGGGAACCGCAAGTTTTTTTATTTCTTTATAAATGTCAATTTTTTTCTTTATAAATGTCACTTTTTGCTGCAGCACGTTCTATACATTGCACAGATGCGCCACTTTACAGGCAGTTTAAGGAGACCCCCCAGACATGATATTTAAAGGAATTTTTCATTTTTATTGTTTCACTTTAAGCAATTTTAAAATCACTGCAAAAAAAAGGTGTTTTTTTGCATTGATACATGTCCCCCCAGGGCAGTACCTGAATCCCCATACCCTTTTTATGGCCAATAACTTGCATATAAGCCTTCAAAAAGGTGACAATTGATTTTCCAAGTTCGGGTTCCATAGACTTTCATTGAGTTTGAGATCAAACTTTTTCCATGTTCTAAAGTTCAAATTCGAACTGAACTTGGGTGTGTTTGGCCCATCACTACTGGGAAATTCCTGGAATAGTGGGTGAGCCCATCCTGGGTGGGTAGGAACACTGGGTGGATAGTTCGGGGAAGTCACCCATGCCCACCTAAGATTACACTACTGGTCACCCATGTCCACTCAGATAATTTTATTTTGGGAGGACCATTAGTTATAAATCACAAGTAAACATGTTCTTTTGAAATGTCATTTGATGATTGGATGATTATAAAGTAATGTTTGTAATTGACCAATGAGATGTAAGACCATTATTGTTAATGAAGTGGGGCTCTATATAATCTGTATGCTTTGTAATGGAATTTGGGACTGATCCCCCTGCACTTGTATTTTCTGATTGCCAAAAGTGATGAAGGCGTGATGTATTGCAAGTGAATATTATAAGACAACCGAGACAAGGTGATGGCTGGTTAGGCAGACATGATCCAGCCAAAAGATTTCCAGGAACATGCACATTAAAGGTGCCCATACACTGGTTGCATTTCGGCAGGTTTTAAATATGTGTGGGGCTGTCGGCTCCCTTTCAGCCGGCATTCCTCAATCAGCTGATCGAAGGAGTTAGCTGGAAATTTTCCGATCGATCATATGCGCCAGCCGATGAGCTACCCGCTCTGATTGGTATTCTGACAATGCAAACAGTGAAATTCCTCGATTGATGCGCTGTTTGTGTTGATGGAGGAATCTGTCAATTCTTTTCGTTCAGCTCGCGGGTTGAACGAAAAAAAATTGATAGGTCTACGGCCAGTCTTACAGTGGCTGAATGTTTATGTCCACACAGAATAGGGAACATATTGATTAAATGGGAGATTGAAAATTGGTTTGCTTATACTATATTTACAATCATATCCTCCCAAACTTCAGTGACATGATAACAGACCTGCATGTTCTATAAACTAGACTGGATTATTGTATATGTATATTGTATTATGGTGCATGCATGCTCTGGTAAATAAAATAGTCTCAGCAGCTCCATTCCTAGTCAGAATTACAGGCATGACGCACTTCAACATGAGCTCACTGCAGTATAAATTGTCACCTGACTAGAGCAGCCAGACAACAGTCGGTGCACAGTACAGCAGCCCAGTGACACATACCACAATTATTAATTACTTCAGCCAAGCAGCCCTGCCCCGTCTCCCTCAGCGTGCCCTATGACCAGCACGTGCTTCCTTGTAGGGGCGGGGCCACACAAAGAGGGTGTAACGCAAGTTTGTTCCTGGAGTGACGCGAGGTGCGGTAGGCGTGCCTGGGTGGAAGCTGATTGTCATGTGACTAGGCTTGAGAGCTGTAGCTGTGCTTGGTTGGTGTGAAGCAGCAGTCGTGGTGAACTATGGATTTCTTGTTGGGAAACCCTTTTGCCACACCGGTGGGGCAGCGCATTGGTGAGTCCGCTGTACGAGTGACTACTCAGTATAAGTCTTCCTTTCCAGCCACTTGTATCCTCCACTTGAGCCAATGGGAAGTTGCTCAGACCTGGATGTTAAACCTATTACAGGGCGCTGTGGTCTATAGAATCTGAGCTTCCTACAGAGCTGACCAATAGGCATGTGACTTGCTTTGCAGACGTTATAAGTAGGCCAATAGGGGGCGAGATGTCTTGAAGTGGGTGGGATTTGAGTTCTGTCACCCTTCATTATAAATAAATGTCTAGATGATTACTGGAGCGCTGTAATGACATACTGGGCTTGCTAAGCTGGTGTTTCTGTGATATTCTGTGTTGCAAAGTTTTTTCATATATAAAAATCACCTTTTATGATCCTTCACTTGGATATTGTTACTTATGTATAGTTCCTTGCCCTCAGGATCTAGGATAGTGTCATGTTGTTTTGAAATAATTGCTCATGCAGCACCATTAAATTCCGCTTGCTTGCAACTCACCGTTTGTAGACCAAATTTACTATAAAGTGGAAGTCCAGTTATATTTTATCATTCTGCCATCCCCATAAAAAAAAAAGAAAATACAATTCTAATTCTACTTACTCTTTCCACACTCCAACGCTGTCCCCAGCTTCTTTTTTAGTCAGGTGCCGGAGGTCCTCCTGGGGCAGGGTGACAGTCCTATCATTCTGCCCATTTCCGGTGAGCACAGCCTGTCATTTGCACCCCTCTAGGGGTGCTCTAGGACTGAGCGGCGCTCCCACGCCATCCTGTAAATGCTCCTGGTAGAATGCCCCCCTACCACCACTGAGGAGGAAGAGAAAGCTGCTTTGACATCCCTGTATAGGGTTTTTTTTTTTCCGGGGGAGAAGCAGTTGGGTTTATATGCCTAGAGTTTTAATTTAAGGTGGTCATACATGTAGCAGTTTGTGAGTAATTCATCAACTAGAATATCAGAATATCAAACAATGCAACGTACACAGTATTCAGAGGTGTGGAAATTTTTGAAAAAACGACTTGTCCAAGGACTAAAGCGGGGCCCGATCTACTTGTCCCTCATGACAATCTACTTGTCCTGATACAAAAAAAATAATTTTAACCAAAACTGTATTTAGCAGTTCTAAGAAGCGTTTCTCATTGGTAAGTGCCGTCAGGTGACCGCGTTGACCAACGACTGCTTGCAATTTGCGAGTGAAATTCAGAATACATGGAACAGGTACAGATAGTACACCCGTACTGGTGGATGGGAAGGACTGTTCGCCGAAAGGTAAGTATAGTGGGAGGGAGATTTGTGCGGGTAATTCCATTTTCCCAAATTACTTGGGAAAGTGAATATACCCTTTAGGGTTGGTGCAGACTTGGGGATTCCCAGGACGTGCGATCGTGTGCAGTTGCATCCGCATGTATGGGGTTACATCTGCGTGGCAATCGCTGAAAAAAAGGTAGATGTATCTATTTTCACGGCATGCACTGCGCAGTGTTTTCTACCGTGGTCGTGTTTGATCGCCCTACGCCCCACGCTCGCAGCGCCGCTCTTGGCGCTCATTTAAGAAAAGAAAACCAGCCCTGCTACTTGTCCGTAATGGGGTTAAACAGTGAAAAAACCACTTGCCCGGAACTACATGTCCCAGGCATCGGGCGATATGAATTCCACACCCCTGAGTATTGTTCTGAACTTTACAATGGACTGGAAATATCAATCAAAAATGCGATCTATTGGTTTCGGCTTCATCAGCTTCTCTAGCTGGAGAGTGACACTGAATGCAGGAAGTGATGTAATATACATCACTTCCTGCAATCGGGGACTGAGAGGAGATCAAAGGGAGTTCGTATACTGAACTCCCTTTGATCTCCTGTCACAGAGCCGTGCCGGTCCCGGCCGCATCGGGTACAGCGGATCTCGGGACCGGCAACGGCAGTGACAGCTTCTGACACAAGCGATCGAGCGTCTCTATAGACGCTCGATCGCTTGACTGTAAAGCTCCCGGCCGGCCGTGTAATTACAGCGGCCAGCCTGGAAGCTGCTCGTCGGGCTCCACTGTCTGCTCGTCGCAGACGAGTGGATTTTCGAGCCCTGGTTATAAATGTAAACAATCATTGAACAGATCTGAACTACAATCATTTCTTCGGACAAAATCACACATCTTTGTTTGGTCAAGCAAAAGTGGTCAACAAAATTCCACCACAGCCTTTGCAGAGTCGAAATCCAGTTCAAAATGCTGACGAAATGCAAAGTTTTTGGTTTGCAATCTTCATTCAATTTGGTCACATTGAACAATCAATTTTATGATCATATTGATATGTGTTGGGCCGCTATTACTATGTATTTAGATCCAGGAAGTTCCCGGCGGACGTTTTTTTACAACGGCCGGCCGGGAAGTGGTTAAAGCTGACCTCCAGGCAACTGCTAAATATATATATATAATAAGCCGGTTTACCTGTCGAATTTGTATTTCTGTCCATACAGGGGAGAGGGGCTGGTTTGTTTTTTTCCAGCAGTTTACTTAAACTTACAGGTCTCCTCCTGGGCTTGTACCTGGACAATTATATTCTAATCTCTCAGTCATTGTGCTCTCTCCTTCTACCAGCATGCTCCTTGCACAGCAGCATTCCTGATTGGATCAGTGAGATGCTTCTCTTTTCCTCTCTTTGAGCTCTGCTGTATGGCCTGCAAGAGGCTCGTAACAAGTACAATTCAGGTACTTACAGTACTTGCATTTTAAAATATACTTTTAAAGTGTATGTAAGGCCAAATAGTTTTTAGTGTTGGATAGTGTGAGTTAAAATCCTTGTAAGATTTTCATTGCTGTCTGTGCCCCTGCTGGGAACTATATCGTCTCTATTTGTCCTAGTGACCACTGTTTCTGGTATAGGGAAATTCAACATTTCTAAATCTTCGAAGGAACAGGAAGTTAGTGGGAATCTTGTAATGGGTAAGCCTGTGATGACAACTGTCTGAGAGGGCATATCTTTTCAATTTACTGACGTGAATGTGGTACTGCAGAAGGTAACGGTCAAGGATTCTTGAACTGTATCACACCATCAGGGGACAAGCAGAGTATCCTCATGAAAAATGTACTGTATGTCCCAGACCTAGAAGGAAGCCTTCTATCAGTGAAAACCCTTTCTAATTACGGTCTCGCAGTTCAATTCAGAGGTGATGAATATACAATCCGAAACAATAAGCAATTCCTCACACCAGGAAAATTGGATAAACAACCTAGCCTAGGGCACATCAGAGTGTTAGGATGTAAAGTTTATGCATATACTCCCAATGTGAAGCGTTCCAAGTTGGGAGAACACAGCCATTGAAGGTATTCTGGTGGGCTATAGTGAACAAAGTAAGGGATAAAGAATCTTAAACCCAAAGACTAACACCAAGTAACAATAAGCCGCAGCATTTATTTCAATGAGAACCCATAACCAGAAACAATTATCTTGGGACATTAGATGAATTTGCTCAGTGAACCAGCTATCGGAAAGCTATTATATATTGCTACTGTGACACCACCAGACATAGCGGCAGCAGTGGGCACACTTGCTAGAAAAGTCGCAGCACCCTGTCGGCATGATTGGAACGCAGTAAAGAGGGTAATACAATACTTAAAAGGAACAATTCAAGGGAAGCTACGACTGCCAGCAGTGTCAAAGCCAAAAAGGCTTGGATATGTGGATGCCGATTGGGCTGGTGACTGCACATACCGCAAATTCACAAGTGGTTACATATTCCAGTATGAGGAAGGAACCATAAGTTGGTTTAGCCAAAAGCAAACAACTGTTGCACTTTCCTGAACTGAAGCTAAATACATAGAAGCAGCACATGCTTGTCAAGGAGCAACATGGATTCCCCAGCTTTTAATGGACATGGGTATAGACATGTGAAACCCCATCCCAATCTTTGAAGACAGTCTGATGTATAAAGCTGACAGAATCAGAAAGGGTCAACCCTATAACAAAGGACATTGATGTAAAGTATCATCTGCTAATGGACACTCAAGTTAGCTATTATCGACCTGCAAGATTGCTCATCAGAAGAATTGACTGCGTATGCACTCACCAAGCCATTGCCAAAGGATCGTCGCAGTTTCCTTCAAGAGAAGCGAAACATCATATAGAAACGCATATGCTGTTGAGAAGGGGTGTTGGATAACAAAATATTACATTCAGAGATGTAATATTGTCTTTTCTGCTGTCGATGGCAGTATACGGCAATGTTAGTCTCTAGCGCTTCCTCATCTATGCTATACATGATATTTTATCTGTTCTGTTTCCCGCACAATGTTGTATAATGCTGTATCCTGATATGACTTTCTTCTAAGCAAGTAAAGCTTAATTCAGCATTCCTCAAGATCTCAGTGCTTCATCTAAACACATAACCAACAAAAGCGACTGATGGTTCAATGAGACCCTAATGTACCTTGACCCTGAAGTTCACCTTGTACCACTTGGAAAGTTTTCTTTAAACTTCTTCTTAATACACCTTTGATACACCTTTTGACAAGCTGGTCTGTAATTTTTCTTTCTGATCAACCCTCTCCTTTGCTTTCTCTGGTCAATGTTCAGTGTGGTGCACTTGATGATACCAAACAGCAGAGTGATTACTTTTCTCAATGCAAATAGACTGAATGTCTACACTGTAGTTTAAGTACTGTTGGACTTAAATGATCTGCTACTGACGGTGCCACAGGAGATTGCTTGTGTGTTTTTCGTGAGATTCATATTTTGAGATGTATATTACACAGAGGTTTAGAGGAAATGATAAACTCTTACCAGAGTCTTTTAACCTAGGGCCAGTCTTTTAACCTAGGGCACTGGTTTGCAGATCTATTACATAATACAAGTAATATTAAACACTCATCCTTTTTTTAATAATGAATCCAGAATAAATAAAATCTGCATCGCCCAGCAAAGTGTTTTTACGCTTTTTGTAATCGTCATGTTTCCGAACAGCTCTGACTCTGTTTCCCTGAACTTCCTGCCCAGCACATGATCACAAGGGACAGAG